GACAGCACATAACAACAACAAATAACAACATCCTACTGATTTCTCCTTCCTTTTCCCACACTCCTTCTCCCCTGATGAAGCGTAACTGGGGCAAAGAAGTCTACAGAAGAAAATACTGTGAATAGCATCTCTATTGTATTCCCTCATATGTTGTGCTGTTGTTGTTGAATACCATCAAGTCTGAAATGACCCATTGCTGACTCGCCAGCGGGTTTTCAGAGGCTGATAATCACATGGGAGGAGACTGACTATCCTCTCCTGGAGCTGGTTTTCAACCAGGTGCCTTCGGGGGATTGCAGTGCAGCTTCTTGCCACTAGGCCATCAGAGCTCCCTCATATGTTGTAGTTACTAAATTAAATCCAAACAGTGATACTCAAATTCTATCTTCCTAGCCCTTCTCCCAAAAAAACTTTAAAATATTATGTTTATTTTAGTTTTAAATTTCAGTATGTGGGCAGAGGGAATTACTTCAAAAGTACTCTTCCAATAACAGATTACTTTTTGTATAAACTGCCACACACTGCCAATATTAAATGTTTCATGCTACCATTGGATATGATCCTCCAACGGAAATAAAATCATTAAGTCCATGCCTCGACATATTTCACCGTAGTTTTGCATTTTTTCCAAAAATTCTATAGGTTACTTCAAGTGAATGTTATAATTTTTGTCTCTGTTGATACAAACTCTCTATGAAAGCTACAGAAAGACTTCATTTTTCCTGAAACAAAGCCCTCAAAAGGATACTAGGCTAGGTTGGATTTCAAAATTAGGACATTAACAAAAATTAATGCACTGAAATGAACAGAAATAAACTGAAATAAAAATCCTTCTCATCAGAAAACCTGGTCCTTTCTCTTCTTTTTACGGGTAGAGCTGAAAAGACTACTTTTTGAATTTCAAAAAGCAGCAAGTCAGAACACAGTTCAAATATATTGTCAACTCATGACAGCACAAGTTTCTTTGCAAGACATTTGAGGATGGATCATACCCAGTTTTCAATCACTATGTCTTTATTAAAGATGAGGAAGCCAAAGTGCTGATTTGACAGTCCTTTTTTTTTTTTTTACCCTTCTTTCCTGGAGCCTCAAATACCTCCGGTATTTTTAGACGATTAATTCAGTCACATTAATAAAAGGCTGTTAAAACATTTTTAAATTCACAAAACAAAATCAAAATCCATTCACTTGCAGCAAAGTGGCATCATCATCATCATTTCAGTCAGAAAGCTGAATTTTTCTCCCCCATTTAAAATGCATTGAGAATAAGCTATCCTAATGCCAGCCCCTTTCAATGAGGATAGCCTGTTTCCATCTCTAACCAAGGACCTGCAGGTTGCATAAAGACGTAAATGAAACCAAGTCCGGTGAGTCGACTCATCAGACACATCTGATGAACTGCCACATTAAATTGCAAACCTGAGTCATGCATTCCTAAAGCCCAAAGCCCATCTCCCAGCCACCGTGCTAACTGGAGCTGCAGGAAATCTTCAAGTTGATATCTTCAGCCTTCAGGTTAGCAGCGAGAATCAGTTCCTCTCTCAGTGTGAGTTTAATCAGTGCTGCCCAGGAAACTCCAGGATCCAACTATACACGGCAAGACTTTCCAGCTTAACTATCTTATTACTTTATTCTTGTGCAAAACACTATTTCCTTACTCATTTCATTTCTATAAGGCAAGTGCACGGGTTAGTTTGCCCTTCTATGTCTTAAAAATCAATTGACTTGGAAAGCATCAATTTGGTCACATCAAGAACTTTAATTGAATCTCATGAAACCCTGTGAATTGTTGGAAAGAAGACAGAATTACATAGCGTGCATCTTGGAGGAAATTTATGCTACCTTAAATTGAAAGATTAACTATGTCTACCACAGACATCCAAGCTCCGCTGAACTTGTTGGATAATTAAGATTCTTCTTCCGAAACAGTGAGAGAAAACTGTATATAAATGTTGGCTGTGATTCTCACGTATTTTCCTTACTGTCACATAGTAGCTCATGCTACCAGTGACCTAATTTCAAGAAGCTTCAATTTCTGGAAGGATAGACCTGAAATTACTTGCCTGTTTCCTGTCAAGAAAAGCAGTGGACACTCAGCTTCACATAAATCACTCCTGAACCTTATGCAGAATGAGTGTGTCCTAGTGGTTAAGAGCCGACCAGGCAGTTTGGATTCTTATCTCTGCTGTGCCAGCTGAGTGATCTGGGGCAAATAATGATATGCATTCACCTAGTTTCTTCATGTACAATATAGGCAATAAAATAGTGTATATGGATGGCATTGGGTCTAGAATAGTACTGGCTATAGAAAGAATTCTAGAACAGAAAGCTGCTGTTGTTGCTGTTGCAATTTCAGTTGATTGTTGTTATTATTACTGACTCAAATCATATGTCTCTCTTGTGAAGCTTTCTATATGTCCCTGGTTTCCTTACATCTTGCCTCATACTATTAGTTTATATCTTTATGTGGCCGCCTCCTCCACTAGACTTTATGCCCCTGTAGGGTGAATGTGGGTTCTATTCATCTCTGGCTTTCCAGTACTTACCAAACAGTAGCTGAAAAAAAATATGAGTGAAAGACTAAATGAAGCAACTATTGTATGCACTTGAAACATTCACTGAGTATCTATAAGTTACGAGGTGTCATGCTATGATACGGTGAGGACACAAAGAGGAGGAATGCCACTCTCTTAAAGAAGGCCTACCGAGCCAAAGTGGAAAGAAAATGGTTATAAACTTAACGTCACCAGTTGCCAAAGGTTGAGCATAATGTTCAAAAAGATTAGTAGCGGGCAGAATCTAGGAATTGTGCTCCAGGTTGAGTCTGGAGCAGCTCAGGAAAAGGAGAAAGCATTGGAGAAAGCATTCCTTCTGGGTCAGGTAGGAAAGACATTCTAAAGGAAAAGCCATTTTGAAACCAGATGTAAGGGGGGGTGGAAACCCGTGAAATAGCAAATGTGGCAGATAGATCATTGGCCCCCAAAGGTTTTTCAACCTTTAATCTTCAAACTATGGATAGATTATGCTACAGGCAAAAGAGACTCTGCAAATGTGATGGATTCAGTTAAAAGATCTTGCAATTGGGACATTATCCTGGGTTATCTGGGCCTGTCAATGTAAGACTATGGATTCTAACAGAAGAAATATAGGAGTATTAGAGTCTTGGAGAGATGACAGAAGGGTTGAAGTAAACATCAGCTGCGCCGTGAGCTAATGAATGTCAGTTGCCTCTAAAAGCTGGTAAAGGCAAAGTAACCGTTTCTCCTGAGTTTTCATGAGGAACCAGACCTACCAACATTTCTATTTTAGCCCCAGGAGAAATATTTCAGACTTCTGAGTTTGAGGAGTGTAAAATGATGGATTTTATTGTTTATATTAGTCACTCATGTGTAATTATTTGTTTACATGATTATAATACAATCCGGATACAGCAAAAATGTGAAATGACAAGTTCTAAGAAAGCAGCACAAATAGAGCATGAATGAACAGGTACAGGAAGAGGAGGAAGAGATCCAGCTTTCAAGCAGAAGCCAAAGACATAGGAGAATAGGATGTTGTTGTTGCTAAGTACTGTTTAGTCACTTGTGACACATAGCGATCCTATCTACAACAGCTCTGAACTCTCCTCTATCCTG